TAGAAGACTGAGGTGTACATTCCTAATGAGGCTGAGTGCTCATGTTTTAGGTTTGCACAGAATATGGCTTGGTTCCTTCACTGTTTTTCGAGATTTTCTCCTGATTTTTGCCGTAGTTCATCACATTAACGGAAAAGGATATTATTACAGCTGTACGCCATTTTTAGTTGTAGTTCTCAAAACTTACCTACGGTTCATTTAACTACAGGTTGTTTCTTCCAAACACGGTTAGTTGGCACCGTTTTAATGAATAAAAAATTACTCCGTTAATGTAAATTTAATGGTTTACTTAGAAGAATGGAATAAATGTTACATAAAAAAGCTGACTATAAATTGTATAAATTAAAATTACAAACGAACCAATATTTAACATTCAACTGTCGAAGGACTGGATTTCTGTCATCTCTATCAAGTAAATTCGATCGTCCTTGCTTAATTAAATACCAAGTGAATAAAGTAATAGAAAGAGGAGAAAAGGAGATTTTTCATTTTCTATTAAAAAAACAGCTTCAAGACGAGAGTATGAAAAATAGAACCAAAAATCATGAAAACATTGCTTATAACAACTGGCAATAAAGTACTTAATTTGTGTAATAAAAACATTTTTTAGAGAAAGAAGTCCTAATTTTAATGTGACACGCTTTTCATAATTAAATACAATTAAATTCACTAATTTCGTGGTCCGCTTGACCAATCAATATATTACAATTAATTAAGGTTTTTAGTTGAGATAAAAAAGTCAATGGCACGAGCGAGATTCGAACCCACGATCTTCGGCTTGATACGCCGCTGCTCTACCACACTTGAGCTATCGTGACTTCGATCCACTCGTACACCAACTTCCTATCTCAACCCCACCTTTTAAATTTTGAAAAATGGCAAAAAGGAGGGAAAATTCAAAAGGTGCGGTTGAGATGGAAAGGTGGTGTCCGAGTAATTTTACGTTAATTTACATTAATTAATACATGTTTTATGGCTAGTTATTCAGCTTGAAAATGCGTTTTGGAGGATCCCAGGGTTACAGATAGGCCATTTAGCCCATTTATGAGTTCTCATCTTTGAGCCGTCTGTATACCATAGAAGATCCCCATTTATTTTTTCGGCTTTATCTTTCCATTGTGCTCTTTGGGTGAATTTTGAAATGTATGTATAATAGCTATGGAGTTATTTTAACTTTGTCGATAATTTTGTAAAACTTTTTTTCGACTAAAGGATGAATTCCCAATCCCTAAGTCGATGCCATCCTTTTATTTTGACATATTATATGTGTATGGGTGGCAGTTTAGAAATAAGCTTTATTGTCCTGTGGGTGTTATTTTAAGAGCACCTCTGATACTAAAGCCTGCAGTTCTTTAAAAGTTTTGCACAGTTCTTTTAACTTTCTTTTGTTCTTTTTTTCATCCACCTCAATTAGTTTGGATATGCGATCACTGGCCTGATATTTCTAGGTTCGGTAGAGTCATTTCCATGTATTGTGCAAAATTGAGCAAAACAAAACGTTGGTTGTACAAAAAGTGAAACTAAATTAAAAAAAAATATAAGTATAATTAAAATAAAAAATACTCGTATGAAATTCACAGAACACTTGGCCTCATTTCGAAAAGCGTTCACTCGGATTGACAATGTAGAATTTGATCCAATTCGATCTTCATCGTGGAGGAGATGCTATGAATATTGAGAGGCTTGTGGTTCACAAATTTGCAAGCATTCCAAGACGTGTTTGATCCTCAAAGAATGGCGTCTTCAGGTTCGATAATTCGATCTGTACGGATATTTTCCATTTAGTTATGTACGAATGTACGACGATAATTTTTCATAATTACAAAAAAAAGCTCTCTAGATGGAATCTATCAGATGTAGTCTTAAACATTTTTGCACTCGGAGAGAATCATAATTGTTTATTGATTCATTATTCCAAAAAGGATCATCAATTATGATGAAAGGGGTGTCGGTGGCCGCAACGGTTTCGACGTTGACACGGTGCACATCACTGCAAGGAAGGTCCAGGGTTCGAATCCAGCGGCCATGCATTCGAACCCGACATACTTACAAATGCGCTTTTTTTCAAAAATACCGGCACCCCGAGGGTTGATATAACCTCTGCTGTTGCGGAAAAAAAAACATATGATGAAGATTCAGTGGTGCGCCTTTTCGGCTAAAGGGCTAAAGAAAATGTATTTTGTTTATTTTGTATTGACTGTGTTAGAGAAGACATAATGCATTTTGCAATAAAATCTTATCTCATATTCGACTTCTGCATCTAAATTTTGTTAAAATAAATAAGGCACAGTTTATTGACATGTTGCGAAATAATTTTAAAAGGGTAATTAATTATGCGCTACATACTTGGCACGCCAAGAGTTAATATTAGAATTCAATTTTTTTTTTCATTCTAAATTATTGCTGCTGACATATTGCCAATAATTTATAATCTATATTTATTGCANAAACTATTAATTGTAATATTTAGTTAATGATTAATTGTATTTATTTTTTTTTATTTTTTCTGTGTCGATCTAAAATTAAAGTAAAATGTAAATCTACCTCAGGCAGGTTTACTCCCGTCTCTCTCATAAATTTACTTTAATTGTATATTACGTAATGTTTATAACGTTTTTTGCAATAAAGTATGTATTATTATTATTCCAAGAAGGATAAAAATTACCAATTGGTGGAAGATGTTTTGCTTTTTCACAATTTTATCTCGAATTATTTACGGACTAAACCCAGTAACAAGCAATTATAATATTTGCAGATGAGGTTTGATACAAACGGTTACAAAAATAAATATACTTAAAGAAGAAATAATTAAAATTAAATAAAACAAAAATAAACAGATACTAAAAATGACTAAAATGAGATCACTTTTCCAACAAATACTGGTAATAATAATGGTTTATCGAATATATAAATAAAAATAGAGAACAATATTTTTATGTGTATTGCTATATGCAAACACGATTTTAGTTAACTAAATTAATTGCAATTTAAGACAGGAGAGATTTGAACAGTTAGAAATGTGTGTAAGTAATAATAAAGTGCTCTGGGGGAAGTGTGAGTGAATCGTGGTGTGTGAATGTAATTTATTAGCGCGAACAGAAGCGTCATTTTCCTTAATAATTCTGAGGAATATGGAGTATCCTGGGATAATGTGATGTAATTTATTAGCGTGAATAGTACGCAATCTAATAATTCTGAGAAATATAGACCATTCAGGTAATTTATTAGTAATTATTTGGAGATCGTGAGATGAGGTCTGGTGTGACGTAGGTTTTAGAAAAACATTTTCTTTATCGTGCCAACGTTTCGATCGTTATTGAGATCATCTTCAGGGCTCAGAATATCTCACTGGCATTCTCAACACGACAAACAGTAATGACACATCTACACGGAAAACAAACACTTTGAGTCCTGAAGATGATCTCAATAAAGATCGAAACGTTGGCACGATAAAGAAAATGTTTTTCTAAAACCTACGTCACACCAGACCGCATCTCACGATCTCCGAATAATCATTGACTAACGGCCACTAAACACCACGAATACGTAATATATTAGCGTGAAGGGTGGGGCTACCCTAATTTTTTTATTTAGCAAATCAAATGCTTTAGTGAAATCTAGATCCCCAGATTGACAGTGTTTAAAGCAAAATGTAACTTCTGTATACGTTTATCCACGTGGCATACCAAAATGTTCCAAATTAATTTGAAGTCTCATTTCTATCTTAATCCAAATCTTGTCGTACTTTAAATGGATTTATTATCCCTAACAGCAGATAATTCACGCTAAACTACTTTTAAAAATTACATTGCAAAAAATAGGATTTCTCTAATCAAAAAAGAACAAAGTCCAAGTCATTTAAGAATTGGCAAGGGAAAGACTTTTTTATTCAAATAAGATAGAATTTGATTCTAAACAATAACAATATTTATTAATTATTTAAGATGAAGCTCATCTTAAAGGCAACCCTGTGAGTACATTTTCAATAGCAGTAAGAAACGTGTAATTATGGAAATTTAATTGTTATATATTACTTTAAAAAATAATGTATGGTGTTTAGTGACTATTAGTTAATAATTATTTGGAGATGGTGAGGTGCGGTCTGGTGTGACGTAGGTTTTAGAAAAACATTTTCCTTATCGTGCCAACGTTTCGATCTTTATTGAGATCATCTTCAGGGCCTGGGATTTATAAAAATCGTTTCAATTTTACAAATGCATGTAGGATTTGGAAAAAAAATGAATTTATACAATGCTAGAAAATTTTAGATTTAAAAAAAATTAAGAATTTACACAATGCTAGAAAATTTTAGATTAAAAAAAATTATTAAGCAGTAATAAATTTTACTTATTTTGCAAAATACATGATAATTTTGTGAAACAATGTAATAATAACTAAAACATAATTGCAAGAATTAATAAGCAATAAGGCATAAAACTAAACGTAGTAAATGAATTGTAAATTATTAATTGATTGGGTTTTGTAGGGTGAATTCTAGACATATATACACATATGTACAGAATCAAACCTATGACTCCTCTCTGAAACAGGTACTATCTGAAATAGGAGATGAAGAATAAACACTTTAGATGTATTCAGAACATAAATAATAATTATTATTAAACGCACAAGTACTATTTAGGTGGAGAGTATGAGAATAGTGATATGATTTTTTAAAAGTAATTGGTAGTTTTTAAATTATGTTTATTGTTAATTATTGTTTGCAACAGCACCGCGCGTGCTTTGGCAGTCATTTCGACGTAGTACAACTAGTTGATCCTTGTATCCTTCTCTTTTATTTTAACCCTCGGCATCCTTTATTGATTTCGAAAAGAAGCACGGTACAAATCGAAAGATGACAGAGAAAATCGAGCCATTTCTCTTCTCGGCCAATTTCAAAAATGAAAATGCAATATGCAAAAATCATTATTATAACGTGTTCATGCGAGGGGCATGCGCGACTTTTCTCGGCGAAGGGGGCGCAGTCCATTGCAGGGTGGTCGCCCGACATCACAGGTTCTCTTGGCAGGTTAGCTCTCTTCACTATCTCTAAGATAACCGACTCGTTCAATCGACTTCAATTTCAAAATCTAAATATTTGTCATACTGTATTTTTCTTTTTCTTTTTTTTTAAATTCAACTATGGGATTTTTCATGTTACAGATCAATCGAGAATTTTACGTGATAGGTTTTTTAAATTATTATTTTTTTGTAAAATAAAAAGAAATGTTTTTCTTTCATCAAGACGACTCCCCTGTGGCTGACAGAATGCATGATTAGCCTGGAAATTTTAATTAAAGCAATTTTCTTTGGATCGAAAGTTAATAAATTTGTAAACTTGTGGCATTTTCACTTGTAAACACATTTGCAGTATTCCCAATCATTATAACAAATTTATGACTTGCAATGAATTAGATTAGATACTATTTTATGTATTTAAAATGGCTTGAATAATATTTTAAAAATTTTTTTTTTATTTTCTAAATTATTATAATTTCAGAATAAAAAGAATTTTTTGTCTTCCTCTATTTAAAATCTAATAGTTTAACTTTATGTATATACATCCACTACTTTTCCTGGTCCGCTTGACCAATTTTATGTATATATATTTTATATATACAGGATTTCTTAAAAGGAGAATAACCAAAGAGAGGAATACTTTTAATTTACAAAAAAAATGCAAAATTTGAGAGAAACAGGGTGTACGACATGAGATGGAATTCTCTGTGTAGTAAACATGTCATATCTTGAAATAAGAACGCTAACCAATGAAGAAGACGTGCGCGCATAAAATGAAATTTTCATCAATTACCCGTGATTAATTTGTTACCGCCTGCATTAAAACAAAATCAGGAAAAGCGGATCTCCTCCTCTGCTTAAAGGGGAATTTATTTTAATTTAATCCCTCTTGAGAGAGAGTGAGAGAGAGTGAGAGAGAGAGAAAATAAAGAGACGAAACATCGCGTTAATCCTGAATTTAGACGATACGCAAAAAGTCCATTACAAAAACCTTATCGATCAGCCAAAACTTGGTTAATTAGTTTACCTTTACATCGTTAACTTATTGTCAATTTGATAACGTATGAGGTTGAGTCGTCTTAATCAAGCTACATTTTAAAATCATAACTAACAAAGAAAAACAAATTTTTGCTCATTTGGCACATATAAAAAAATGTTCTTTAGTATTTTGTACTATTATTTATATGGCATGTTTTGTTGTTTGAAGTTTAATTTTATTTCTACTGTTTAATCTTTTTTTTGTTAATATTTATTGTTTAATTATAACTAATGGTCTAGTCGTGGTGTGTAATCGATGTCGCGAAGATTGAACTTCATCCAGCGTCCTTAGACGTCTCATTATTTTGTTTCTTCGACAAGTATGTTGACAACAGGCCCTTAAACACTTTATTACAAACACTGTTGATGTGGTTTATCGATTGAGTCCTATTGTACCGGACACTAAGATTCCTTTATATTTGTCAAAGCACGTGTTGTTTTTCAAAAAGCCCATTCGATATGGATTTCTTCTGAAAAATTTAATTTCATCTTGTGACGTTTTTACGTTTGATGCCGATCTGCATATTTCTAAACAAGTTACGGTCTAATGCGTTGTAGGACGGAATCCTCACGCCCAATAAATATCTCTATTAATATGCAATATATAAAAGTTTATAAATATCTCATAACAGCTTATTTGGAGCTTGTCATCGCTGTTTGCATCCTACTTTACCGCCTAGGTCGAGACAAGAGCCGATAATTTTGTTAAGTTGTAATATGCCTCTCACAGTTGCAGCTCTGGTTTTATTGCATTTTAGTTTTAGACCCTGTCAGTACTGTGTCATGGGTTTTATTTCTTTTTCGCCGTTGAAGGTTTGTTTTGGGAATGGCCATTTCCCGCCCCGTCCACTCGTCCCATCGCATAGGACAGCAGGTCATCAATTATAGAAGGGCGCGTTCCTCTCATCAACATAGGGAGACTGGATAGTGCATATCAGAATTATTATCAATTTTAAAAGTGTTTTGCACAAATAACTCTTGGAAATCAATTAAATGACGAACTGGCTATTTATCAGAATGTAATATATATATATATATATATATAAGTTACGTGTGTTGACTAAACGAGAGTCTTTTTAAAAAGAACTTTATTAGTTAAACACAAGTTATAATTTGAGAAGAACCTTTCCTGTTCACGGATATGATTAATCTGAATCTGTCTTTACAAGTGTAAAAGGAATAGTGAACAGGGAAGGGTTTATTGCTTACAAACATTCTTCGAATCTGTACAGACGCAACATCATATGTCGCTGAACTAAGGGTTTTGTGCAGGCGTAACTTATATATATAC